CCTACCGGTTCACCAGACCACCAACTCACCAATCCGCCTACAACCAGCCCATCAACTCACCAACCAACCAATCTAATATTCTACCCGCCAACTCACTAAGCAATCAACTCATTGACCCACCCACCCACCAACCCACCAACCAGCCCACCAACTGGATATCCTACCCACCAACCCACCATCCTAATAACCAATCTACCTACTAACCCACCCACCAACCCACCAACCAATCAACCAACCTACCCACCACTCCCACCCACCAACCCATCTACCCCTGCCCCCCACAGACACAAGTGCGGAACATATACACACTCCCTTCCTGTGATGTTCCTAAGATTTATTGTCCATGAAGAAATGCAGGCAATCATTATGGCCTGGGACCACAGCTTCCGTCCCTATGCTTTGAAGAATCTCTTCATGAACAAACAGAGCACATGCCACGCTAAGTGCCCCCCCAGGGAGGTCAGCCCTGCAGTGTGAATGCGTGGCGGGGTGGGCAGTGGAGGGGTACAGCTGGACACACAGCTGCGACACATAAATGAAGTACCACAGAGGAACAGCTCCAAAGCTCCCTGCAAGGGTCACACCTGGAAGCTGCTTGAAGGGCAAGGAGGAGACATTTGCACTGGACAGTAGGCATTCTCAAGACAAACCCCACCACTACCCACCACCTTGGGGCAACTGAGACATGTTTAACAGCGTTATTAATTCATGTAAAATTCCACCCATACATTACTGCTCTAGAGGAATTCTCTAAATTTCCTACCAGGTTCTAGGAATCCTTGCTGTGATTTGGGAGGGGCTAAATTTGCCTTTTGGATTGTTTGGTTTGGTCCACAGATGAACTGATTAGGGTCACTGCCATGGTGCCTTATCTCATGATGTCTAGATACAACTAAATTCATTAAGCCCTAGCACGATATTTTTTACTATGAATCAAGTCTGGCAGATGATGATGACGTGATGATGATGATGACAGCGCTGGTGGTTGTCCGTTTTGGAGAACACTTCATGTATCTGGCACTACCATGAGCACTTTACATGTAGTATTTAATATTTAAGCAATTCTGTGAGGCAGGCAACAATGTCATCTGCATTGTTTGAATGACAAAACTGAGATTTAATGAGGTTACTTAACTATCCAAAGTCATACAGCCAGTAGGTGGCAAAACTAGGACTCAGACTCCAGTCTCTAAATCCAACTCCAATGTCACCTCCTACAGGAAGCCTGCTGGGAGCCACCTTCTTCTCCCTGCTGTGAGTAAGACTCTCAGACTCCTGCTGCTTCTGTGTGGGTGTCACTGTTACTGCCCAGACCACTTGTTTTACAGTTGACACAGCTGTCCCCTTACTAGACTGGCCCTGGAAGCCAGCAACCGTGTGCTCCGTTTAGGTGTTTCTAGGGGCTAACAATGCCAGGCCTACGTGAGGACCTAGGTAAACGCTTGTGGTTGGGTCCTATCACAGGCATGTCACTGTGTGACATTCAGAAGAGGGGGGACCCTACTCTGGTACATGTGTCTGCTTGCTCACTCTTCCAATAAGGGCTCAGAGGTCAGAGCTTGCCCTGTTTCAAGGGTCTTCCAGTGTGGCCCTCATCAATCCAAACAATCCGGACCAAAAATGAATGTGACACATAGAATCAAACACTGGACATCACCTGGTGACTTCCCTCCCCTAATGTAACTAACCCATTAAAATATCAAGAAGGATAACTGGGGGTTATGATAATTTTTTTCTTCCTAGTCAACGGTCTGGTACACATACTTCATAAGGGTAGAGAGCTTTCCTGTTCTGAACTAGGGATGGATATTAGGGCACTGGGATGTTTATTAATAATAGCAGATGACTAACAATGAGAACAGACATATGTAAGTCAGTACAAACTCTTCTTGGCAATAACACAATAAATAAAAGTCTTCCATTGATTCCGTATATGGGGTGGGAGAGGATAAACATAATTTGAATCAGGATGGATATAGCTGATTAAAAATCAAACCCAAACCACCTGGTGTCTTGTGTTTCATAGAACTGAAATAACGTGCCAATATAGATATCAGATTTGATTTTTGTAGGTGAACAACCAGCAAGATTGATTCTGACCAGCATATATATATATTTATTGAGTTGGAGTCTCACTCTGTTGCCCAGATTGGAGTGCAGTGGCCGCTCCCGGCCACCGCAGCCTTGACCTGCTGGGCTCCGGCGATCCTTCCGCCTCAGCCTTCCGAGTAGCTGGAACTACAGGCGCGCTCTACCACACTTGGCTTATTTTGATTTACTGTAGAGATGAGATCTTGCCAAGTTGCCCAGGTGCATCTTGAACCTGGCAATTCACTCACCTCAGCCTCCCAAAGGTGTGGGATTACAGGCTGAGCCACCGAGCCCGGCTCTGACCAGCACATTTTTAAAGAACCCTTCTGTCTCACCCAAGCCAACGTGCTGCCGCATCTTCATGAAGAGCGGTATCACTTGTGGTGGAAATAGAGAACTGTGACTTAAAATCAGATCAGAAGGAAGAACAGAGGACACAGTTCCCCCACCCCACCTTTTTTTTTGGAGACAGGGTTTCACTTTGTCACCCAGGCTGGAGTGCAGTGGTGTGATCATAGCTCACCTTAGCTTTGAACTCCTGAGTTCAGGCTATATCCTTCTACTTCAGCCTATGGAGTAGCTGGGACTACAGGTGTGTACCATCTCACTTGGATAATTTTTAAATTTTTTTTTTTGTAGAGATGGAGTCTGCTATGTTGCCCAGGCTGATCTCAGACCCCTGGCTTCAAGGGATCCTCCTGACTCAGCCTCCCAAAGTGCTGGCATTACAGGCGTGAACTACCGCGCCTGGCCCATGGTTCCAATTTGAAGTTCAAGCCTCTGGATAAGTAAGTTTCCAAATAATGAGGTCCAGCAGCTAAGCCAGGGAGTGTGCTGGGCTTGGTGTCTCATGCCCACCACCCTAATTCAAGAAGCACAGTCACTGCCGCACCTCCTATCTGTCCCCCTAATCGAGGTTGCCTGTTGCTGCCGTTACCCTGAGGGCTGCGTGCCACGAGTAGCTGCTGAGCTCCACCAAGGAGCTGATGTGTCTTTTCCTCCCAACACGGGACGCGGGACCATGGCAGAGCTCACTGGACCCAGTTACACAGGAGGCGAGATTTCAAGTCACACCAGCCTGGACAGCCGCACAGCCGATGCTTCCTCAGGCCAGTGGCTTCCCTTGCCCTCTTGTCCAGATCCTCAAAGAGAGAATGTCACCTCAGATACTTGATGCAAAGGCAGAGTGTGACCTGAAGGACTGTCCTGATCCCTATCCCCAGAGTGTTTTCTAGGCCGCCGAGCCCAACGTACGGGGTGGGAGTGGGAAGGTGGCTGAGGGCCCAGGGGACTGGGAACCACACCCTGACCTCAGCAAGCTATGAGAGATGTTTTGAGTCCCTGAGGCCTTCTGACCCAAGCGCCCATCACGGGCTGCCGAGAAGCCCTGCCACACAGGACCCTGGGAATAGCTGGCTCAAATGGCCTTTGCAGATGAAGCCCTTTCTCAATGCAGAGGACACCAGGGTGATTTCCACATAGACCTCAGCTGTGGTGGTCACATGAGCTAGGCGAGTTCAGCACTCAAGGCTCATCCCTCTAAGGGACCCCAGGGTCAGTCATTCTATCAAGCAGAAGGCATGGTAAATACACGGAGTGGCTAGGTTATGCCTTCACACACAGGGTCACTGTTAAGTGGCATGTCACACTCTGCCACCTTGTGCCTATCCTGATGGCATAAGTGGCCACAGTTCAAGGGACCCTTTCCTTCCCTGTCCCATGTCTTCACAGCATGCAGAGGAGATCCCAGATGGGACCCCTCATCTGGTGATGTGTGAGCATACTGTGCTGGGAATGATGGACAACTGTATTCATTATACTTAAACTCCTAGAGACACCAGCAGGCCATCCCGGGGCTGTTGGACCTCTGGGCACCAGCTTCCTTGACCTGGAGAAACCACTTGGCTGCCCACACAAGGACATGGGAGGATGGTGGAGAGTGTGTCTGGCCTCCAGTCATCTCTGTGTCACCCGCTTTCCCTAGTTTCTGGAAAGCAACAGGGCCACGCCAGCTCTGGTGGAGATGATACCACATCAGCTGTCAGAAGAGCGCATGTTGCTCCCAGCTCTTAGAAGTTGTGCCCCCAAAATGAGAATAATAAGAAAAAAGCAGCCGTTCCATCTTGGAAAGACCCCAGACACTGACACCCTCACACTGCCAGGTAGCCATGCTCAAAAAATTCATTTAAAAAATGAACAGCATTCCTGCTTCTCAGGACAGAGCTTGGAAATAAAAGAGCCCAGCTCTACAGACTGCTGGCAGCTGGCAGCCTGCTGCTCCTGCACCTGTCACCTGGACTGGGGCAAGGAGCTGGTGAAGCGGTCTCCTATTTCTTGAAGGGAGAAGAAGTGATATGAAGGTCCCCTTTCACCTTGGCCCTCAGATTAGGCATCTTTCCTCGGGACCTTTTTTTTTTTAACATAAAAAATGTTGGTTTCCCTCCCCCGCCACAACAGAGCTAGGGAGATTCCCATCTGGGCTGCAGGGGGTTCTGATTCTCTAGGCGGCGCCTGGGTGGGTTTCCACTGTGTAGATAGGTTCCTTTCCACTCCTGCTGTTCCTGAGAGCTGTCCTTCCCCGGGCAGCGTGTCCCCCAGTGATGGTGGGGAC